TTTTACATAGCTGGATGCTCCCATATTTGGTGTGTAAATACATTTAAGATTGTTATCTGCTCCTCTTGAAGTTTTCCCCTAAGTAGTGTACAGTGACTTTCTTTATCTATTCTGATCATTCATGGTTTGAAGTTCACATTGTCTGTAAACAGAGTAGCTAACCCTCCTTATTTTGAGTGGGGGTTCCTGTTGCATCAAATATTGTTTTCCATCCTTTGACTTTTAGTCTATGAATTTCCTTTTGTATTAAATGGGTTTCTTGTAAACAGCATATAGTTGGAAGTTGTTTCTTGATGCATTCTGCCAGTATGTTTCTTTTAATTAGTGAAATGAGGTCATTTACATAAATGGTTATAAGTGATATACATTGACTTATTTTTGTCAGGTAATCTTTCTGCTGTTGGTTGTTTGTCTTTCCCCTCTGTTTAACTGTTTTCTGTGCTTGGTGTTTTTTTCTGTTGGTATTCTTGAAATCTAGATATTTTTATGTCTATCGAGAATACCTTTCAACATTCTTGGTAGGGTTGGTTTGAGGGTCATAAAGTTGTTTTTCGGAAGTATCTTATTTCTCCATCAGTTTTGAAGGATAGTTTTGCATGGTACATCAATGTGGGTTGCAAGTCATTTTTTTTAGGACCTGAAATACTCCATTCTATGTTCTCTTGTCTTGTTTATGTTAGGAAGTCTGCTGTGATTCTGATGAGTTTTCCTTTGGTTTTTTTCCTTGTATTTTTGAGATAGGGTTTTTTGCCATGTAGCTCAGGTTGGCCTTCAGCTCACTTTGAAGCCCAGGCTGGACTCAAACTTGCAAAAATCCTCCTTCTTTAGCCTCCCAATTGCTGGGATCACAGGTGTGCACCACCCTATCTGGCTTCTTTTATAGATGATTTGTTTCTTTCCTCTAACAGCTTGTGATATTTTGTGCTTATGTTGAATAACTAGGATGTTGATTATTATATGTCTTGGTGTAGGATTATTTTGGTTACAGTTAATTGGAGTTCTATATGCCTTACTTCTCTGTATGTAAGTTTCTTTTCCCATGATTGGACTCAAAGAAGAAACCAAAACTTTTTGATTGTGCAGCCACATTTATAGAAGCACAATTTGTAATATATAAATCTGGAAACAACCAAATGTTCATCAACAACTGAGGATGTATAAAAAAGATGTGGTACAGTACACAGGGGAGTACTACTCAGCTCTAAAAAAGGATAAACTTGAGACTTTTATAGGTAAATGAATACAACTAGGACCATACTTATAAGTGAAATAAATGAAACTCATATGTGTAAAATAAAGGGCCAGCCTTCCCTCAGAGTCTGCTCATGCTAGGGTTGCAAGAAAAGAAATTTTCTAGAACTGTTTCAACCACAAAAGTCAACCTTTCTTAGGATGGTACTTGATCATGACATATTCTGCTTCCACACCTGGCTCACCTGCAGAGTCCCCGCCCCAAACAACCCTTAAAAACCCTTTCCCCAAGCCAAATGGTGGCTGTCTTAGTCGACAAGGTAGTCCATTCCTACCCAATAATGGTTCTTTCTCAAGGCAGAATGTTTGATGTGGCTTTGCGTGGGTTCTGGTTCATCACTGGTGCCAAAACCTGAGAAGGATGCCTAGGTCAACTGACTGGTCCCTCCCAACCAGGAGGCTCCCCCTTGGTCCACAGCCAACTGACCCTGTGCAGACCATGAGCCCCAGATAATTCCCTTACTGATGCCAGCATCCAGGAATTTCAAAATTGTGAACGAGTTCCATTTATGCCTTCACCACTCTAATCCCTGTTTCTGTCCTTCACCCATATTTCCTCCCAGACTCTCTGAGACTTCCCAACCACTTTCCCTTGTTTCAACTCTGTTCTGGAGTGGGTCACTACAAAGCTCTTTTAGGGAATTTTCCAAGACTTCACGACTGACAAACTTGCCTTTTGCACTTTCATTTTCTTCCTTTTTCTTTCCACAAAGGCAATAGTTCTTTATGGAACAGCTCATCTATGTTTCTGGGACCCCTGCCCCTTGCTTGAAAGTCATGTCCACATACTGAGCCACTTCTCCTTCTATACTTGAACCCTCTCCAACTAGGGATGCCTACTGAGAGAGTTTGTGGTCCTACATCTCATTTGGGACCGTCTACACTCAACCTCCTCTCTGACCAAGGATGCCTGCTCAGAGAGCCTGTGGTCCTACATCCATTTGGGGACATTCTACAAATGATCGTTGCCATTAGCCTTCTCTCCATCTTAGCATCTCTCCTCTGCTTGGTATCCACTATGGAGAACAATCAGTCCTCTTCCCCTCTGAAACATACCTATGTTCCTTTTGGGATCTTCTATGGCAGATTCTTGCCTTCAGTCTTCTCTCTCCTCTGCCTCATTTTAACCATGGACAATGTTCCTTCTTCTTCCCCTGACCCCCAACTCTGTCCTCACTTGCCTCAGTTTTGTTCTCTACTCCCCTATCAGCCTCATGGAACTCAACCCAAAAGTCTCACTTCCCTCTGCCAGACAGGATGCATCTATATACATTCAACCCATCTATATACTAAACAATAGCTCAATTTGGCACCCCCAAAATACACTCTTGATTTTACTATCCTCTAGGATCTAGGACATATTTGTCAATGCAATGCAAAATGATCTGAGGTACTATATGCCCAAGTTTTCTGTGCTCTTTGAAACCGAACTCCTTCCTTCTGCACCATACTTCACAGACCAATATGACCCTCACCACTGCCAAAATCCTTACCTGACAATCCCACTGACTTTAATATGTCTTCTACTCGTGCCCTGCCCACCATACCCACAAAGCTTCTCTTGTTCTCCACTGCTGCCATTTTGTCTAATCTACTTTCATGTCCCTTTTGCCTTCTCTGGTCTCTCACACATCTTCCAGCATGTAACATCCTTTGCTGTTGACCCATACAATTATATAAAAAAGCTTAATTCCCATTTCCACTCTGTCTCCCCCCAAAAATTTTAAACTCCCATTTTATGTCCCAAGCAATACCAGACATTCAGACTAAATTCAAAAAGTCAAACCTGGATTCTCAATCTCCCCAGGGAGAGCTCTTAGATACGACTTTCCATGTGTTCAACAATAGACAAAAATAACAAAAACAGGACAAGCTTTAAAAAGGCTACATTCCAGGATGACCTTAAAAAAAAAAGAGGATGCATTCTAAACTAAACTTCAAGGCCAATTTCTGGCCACAGAGGCTACAGTAGCAGTAGCCCTTGGAGCTCAAGGTAGAACACAGGCCGAAAAAATGGAGCCCTACCACCACGACGGTTCAAATGCAGCAGAAAAACGATGCTGGACATGAGCCTACTTTGACCTGTGTTCACACCTAGGAACTCGTCCCATCTGCAGCCAAGAGGGCCACTGGAAGTGCGACTTCCCTGTGCACCAGAGAAAGGGTAAGTCATCACCTTCCCCACCCTCATGGGATAGGACATTGCCACCTCAGATTCATCATTGGCACATCTGCTCAGTATTGCCACTGAAAAGGATTGATGGCAGTTGGAGCCCACATCCTGATCAAGGTATCTCTCTTAGAGCCCCACATCTCACTGGACATCTCAGGTAAAATCCTCTCTTTTCTTATTAACATGGGAGCCACTCATAGTGTCTTTCTGAGTTTTCAGGCTGATGTTCAGGGTCTGTAGTCTCCTTTGTGGGAGTTGACGGCCAATGTACATGACTTCCTCAGACAGGACCTACTCCCTGCAGATTCCAAACCCTTTGTTGGCACACAACCATCTTATTATCCTAATTTGTTCTGGACCTCTTTGATTAAAATAAAAACACTCCAAATACTCAATTTCTCTTATACTGTCTCTCTCCCCATGGTTCTCATACTTCAATCCCAACCATCATACACCACTGACTCAGCCCTTCCCTTCCCTCCTCCCTCGTTGACCCTACAGTCTGAGACACATCCAGTTCTACTCATGCCACACACATTACTCTGCTGCTAATTTGCCTCAAACACCTCTCAGTCTTCCTTTCCATTCCCCAATACTCAATAGCTCTAAACTTCAATGGGGTTCAAACCTATAATGTGCTGCTTGTTAACTAATGGGTTTCTAAAGGTCATTCACTCACCTTATGACACCCCATTCTCCCTATCCTCAAATCCAATGGTTCCTATCACCTAGTCCAAAATCCCAGAGCTATTAACAATGGGATGATGCCAGTTCACCCGCTGTCTCATAGTCCTACGTGTACCTCTCACTCTCCTGTATGAGACCTTAAAGATACATTTTTCACTGTTCTCTTACACTCTGATTGCCGAGACTCCTTTGCCATCTGTCTCTATTGTAGACCACCCTAAGGCTCTCAGCCTCCTTTATTCCTATAACTTGACCACTCTAGAGATCTTATAACTCCTCTCAGACCCCACCTACAATGTATCAGGATGCTGGCTCTGCCTTCCCCATCAGTTCCTCTTTTGAGCTCCTTTCTTGGCTCTCTGTACTCCTGGGCCCCCTTGCAGGTCTCTCAGTCATGCTCATGCTCACGCCATGTCTCATCTCCCTATTCCACAACATGGTTACAGAAGTCACCACCAAAATTTTAACCAGATGTTCTTCTCAGATTTCTCTTATCAGATGGTGCCTACAGCTAATCCCAGCATTGACCCTACATCCCCAGCCTAGCCTTCCCACTTCACCCCTAGCCAGCCTAAAGCAGCCAAAAAGACCTCATTGCCTGATTTACTAACAAACAAGCAAAAAGTATATCAAATTTAAAGAAGAGCTATTTAAATAACCATAGTAACTTTTGAAATCCTGATACTATGTAAATATGCCTGAATTTATCATTGTATTTTCAAAAGTTAGCTAAGAAAAGTCAATCAGAAAGAAGGATCTATCTTAGAAAAACGACACTTTAATACACATAGACGTATGTGTCTAGGCCACATATGTACCAATGTTGCCTATATGTATAATTATCATAGCATTACTAATCAGACATAGACTCATACAGGGTGTGTTTTACCTGGACTTGAAGCAAATCTTCTTTCATTTTAAGCTGTTGGGCTTCAGTTATCTTTCTGTAATGAAAATGATTTAATATATATCATCATAAAAATATATCACTGCTCTTTGCTTTTTAAGGAGTAATTTAAAACACTACAAAATAGATGATTTTTGAACATCATTGAACATCAAAGGACATTTTGCACATAATGCATTTTAATTTTTAATTCCCTCCCCTCTCTTCCCTCCACCTTTTTCTAACTCTTGGTTCCCCTCCATTGGATTTCTTTGCTTTTGCAAAAGATCTAGTTCTCTGTTTCCTATGGTCTATCTTTTATTTTGTTCTTCATTTACATTTTGGGTTTCTCATATAAGAAAAACTGCAAGATATTTAAGCTTGCAGGTCTCATTTATTTCACTTAACATTATAATCTTAAGGTATATTCATTTCCCAACTAATATCTCAACTTTACCTTTCTTTATTTCAGAGTAGTACTGCATTGCTTATAAATACATTAAGAAAATGATAAAGAATATCTAATCATCTGTTGATAGACATGTAGACTACATCCAAGATTTAATTATTATGAGTTCTCCTACTATAAAAAAGGATATGCAAGTATAATGGTAATATGATGTTATTATTTCTTTCAGGAAGATACCAGTAATATGACATCGTTATCTCTTTCAGAAAGATACCTAGAAGAGGGAAAGCTTGGTCAAATAAAATGTTTATTTTTAGTTTTTGAGGATTCTCCATATTGATTTCCATAGTGATTGTATTAGTTTACATTTTCATTAACAATGCAGAGGGGTTCTTTTTTCCCTGAAGCCTCTCCAGCATTTGTTATTATTTCTTGATGATAGCCATTTGTTCTGGAGTAAGAAGGAAGCTCACTGTTCTTTGAACTTGCATTTCTCTAGTGACCCAAGATCATAAGTATTTTTTCTTGTATTTATTGGCCATTTGTACACCTGTGAAGTATCTATTCATTTTAGTTGTCAATTGTTTATTGGGTCTTTAGTTTTGGGAGGTCTAGTGTTTAGAAGATTCTATTTGGATATTAGAAAAGGCAACGAAAAAACCCCACAAAATATTAAAAATTCTTTTGAAATTGTGAGCAGCAGAACTGATGAAGGCGAGAACAGAATATGATAACTAGAAAATAGGACTGATATGTTGGCCAATTACACAGAGATACCTTGAAAATAACAAGATGACAAGAAAAAAATTAAATCAACAGCTGCTAAATTCTGAAAAGACTAATCCATGAGGAACTGGAAAAGTGGAAACTCAGAAGACAGTACAAATGGCATATAAAAACGTTCTAACAGAAATAAGAGAAAAAATTCCAAAGATGGGAAAAGAATTTAGCACACAGATAAGTGAGGCACAGAAAACCCTAAAGAGCTATGATCAGAAAAGAATGGTGAAACCAGATGATTATTAGCGATTATTTTGAAAACCTGTACCCCAATTAATTGGTGAATCCAAAAGAAATGAATACATTACTAGATACATATGAATCATAAAAACTAAACCAAGAAGATACAAAAATCTGGAAAAATTCAATAACAGACAATGAAATCAAACCGGTAATAAAAATCCTACCAACTAAGAAAGAATTCTAGGTGCCATTAAATTCACCACTAAATTCTACAAGAACTACACTACTCCTCAAACTTTTTAATAAAATCAAAATGGAGGAAGCACTGCAAGACTCATTTCTGGAAGCTGGAATTACTCTGATTTCAAAACTAGACAAGATGTCAATCAGAAAGAGAGCTATAGGCCTATCTCTTTAATGAATACAGACACAAAAATCCTCACAATACTGGCAACTAATCATTAGAAGGTTCATATAACATGAATAAGTAGGTTTTTCCTAGGAATGTAAGGTTGGCTCAAAATACACCAATCAATAAATGTAAATAGAAGCAAAGTCAAAACACATGATCCTCCAAATAGATGCAGAAAAAAATCTTTGCCAAAATTCAACTCAAAGTTTAATGGTCACACTTTCTTCTCTGATCAGATTTCTTTTTTTTACTTTTATTTAAGGAGAAAAAGAGAAAAAAGCAGAAAAAGGGTACAAGTTATACAGAATTTCAGAAAAAAAATAAACAGGAAATCACTAGTTAATGGATTACATATTGTCATCTTAGAAATATTTGTTCAAGTTACAAAATTAAAGCTTATAAAGTGGACATTCAAACAGTGAGACTGCAAACAGTTCTGTTCAATGATCCAACAAAACTCAGTAATATCATTGTCTGTCTTATACACTTAAATATACATGCAGTTATATCATTTAGAGCACTTTCTTTTCCTCTCTTTTGAACAATCACTATTACACATTTTGGGTTTTATTCCTCCCATGGTTCTTATTACTTTTTTGGAAGAGAGTAAAGCCAAATGTGACATAACAGAACAGAGTTGGTCAAATCAAAAGGGTGGACATAATAGTGTAAAAACATAATACAAGGTGATCAACAATGGTTACCATTATGCCTCCCACTATCTCAAATAGAATTACCTAAATCATCAGTTATAATAAAATTGAACAAAACAGTAAAGAACGAAACCAACAAAACCAAAACATGAGAAACATTACAGGTCTTCAAAAGTAGATAACAGTCAACCAAAATGGGCATCATAATGAATCCCACTATCTTCACAGCTGTTGCCTAAACTTTCGAACCTGGTACTATGAAGCAAAACAGAGTAGAGGAACATTAGTCAAAAACAAGATGGTAAGAGCAATACAGGACTTTAAATCAAGTAAATAGGAAATCAAAGTGGGTTACTATAAAATATCCTGCTATTTTTTATTTATTTTCCCCTTAATTAAAAGGATAAAAATAAACAAGTACATAGTAAATTGGAGATTGAGATAAAAGAGGGCATAACAACAAAACAATGCAGATCAAAACATAACCATTTAAGCAAAATAGTGTTTCACGCAAGATAATCCCAACATAAAATTAGTTACCATATTGTCTCTTTCCTTGAAATCTTTGAGCATAACTTCGTATACTGTAGCATCAAATATATCAAAACAATGTAAAACCATTCAAGAGAATGACAGTATTACAGGGTATTTAGAATCAACTAACAGAAAAGGAACAATGGTTTCTGTATAATCTCCTTGTCTATAAAAGTTTTTGTTCATATTAGCACATATAATAAAATCCAATAAGATACAAAATAAGACCTATGGAGACAGAAGAACAAAAGCTTGATGGGACTTCAAAGCAAGATGATATTAAATCAGCATTACCTATTATGACGTTGTTTTCTCCAAAATAGCTGTTCCTATCATCCAATCTTCTCTGCCTCATTTCTGTTGAGCTCTTTTTCTGTCATTAGTTGTCAGTTTGTCTTCTTCATTTTGTTTTCTGCTCCATTCATTGTAGCCTCTCTGCCACTATTTCTGGAATCTTCGTATTTTTCTTTTTTAGAATATCCTGCAGTATTCTCTGTAGAGTTGAATTGGTGGTTGCATATTCCCCTAGTTCCTGTTTATCTTGGAAGCACCTTGTTTTTCCATCAGTTTCCAGGTATAGTTGTGCAGGATATATCAATCTTGGCTGGAGGTTATTATCTTTCAAAGCTTGAATTATTTCCCCCCACACTCTTTGTGATTTGATGGTTTGTGCCAAGAAGTCTGCTGTAATTCTGATGGGTGTTCCCTTGTAAATGATCTGTTTCTTGTCTCTGACAGCTTTTAATATTCTGTTCTTATATTGGATTTCTGGAATTTTGATTATTATATGCCTGGGTGTAGCTCTGTTTGGGTTGTAGGTGGCTGGAGTCCTGTATGCTTCATACATCTGAGTATCTTTACCTTTTGCTAAATTAGGAAAATTCTCCTGGATTATTTCTGAGAGTAGCTTTTGTAGTTCATTTGTTTGTGTCCCTACTTCTTCTTTTATGTTCTTAATTCTTAAGTTATAGATACTCTTATCATCTAGCTTTTGTATTGTTGCTATTTGTTTTTTTGTTATTTTTAAGAAGTTTTTCATTTCATGCTCCCATATTACAAATCTGGCCTCCAGTTCAGATAATCTATCCTTGGTTTCTTTCAAGCTGTTATGCCAGTTTTCGATAGAGTTTTTAGTTTCCTGGTAATCTCTTTGAACCTGCTTCACGTATTCTGTTTTCTCTATTTTCTCCATCCAACAATTCTCCCCTTTTTTTCTGTTCTTCCATTCCACCATCTGTTTTTTCTTGGGCGGTGCTTAGCATTTCTCTAACTATTCTGCTTATGTCTTGCTTCAGGTCATTAATAACTTCATTCCTGAACTAGTCTATGAGGCTCTGGAGATAGTGCTTTATGGCTATTGGTACAGTGTCTGCTATTGCCAGTTTCTCAGGATTGGGGGCCAAGGACCCTTTCTTGTTGCTCCCTCTTCCCATATTCTTTGTTCCTTATATAAGTGTGTATAGGAGGCCCAGCTTCCTTGCCTGTCGGCCACAGTCTGTTTGAATTGCCCAGGCTAGGTGTTTCCGCCCACTGCAGCACACCAGAGAGATACAGACTGGGCAGTCTATGCTGGGCCTGCCCCTCCAGGTCAACCTACAAAAGGCTTCACTGCTAGGGTGCACCTCCAGACGTTGGGACCTGGGTTGTGCTAGCCTACTGGGTCTAAGTCAGTGGCGTCACACAGCCAGGCACTCCCTACCAATCCCGCTTGAGAGGGGGATATGTGACTGAAGTCACTGCAGCATCTCATTCCAGGTAGTCTGCCTGGTCTGAGTATGTCCTCCGCTGAAGCTTCCTTCTCTATGGAAGGGTCCCCGATCTGCTCACTCACCATAGGTTGATGCAGGGCACCCGGCCAGTCCCGCTCCCAACTCCATTCAACGCTTCCCACTCTCAAAGCCTTTGCACCTTTCTCCCTGCCATGCTGACTGGGCCGCAGCAGCGGCTGTAGGAAATTCAAATTGTAGCTTCCAGTGGTGCAGGGTCCAGCTTCTGCGCTGAGATCTTATCTGTTCCCCCTGTATCACCGGGATTGCATTTCCAGTTGGTTTCTCTTAATTTAGTTCATTCCTGGGGGTTGGCAAAGA